AACTTTGAATCCTGGTATCCCAGTTGGATACTGAGAAAAAATTAAATTTCAGAATCTGATTAAAAAAATAGGGTGTGTTAGGTTGCATTCAGTACAGTAGGTGCTGGCCATATGTTTTCCGGAACTGAAATGATGCCAGAAAGTGCCCTAAATGTGCAGTGACATTCAATACAAAACGCAGTACATGTTTGTCACGCTTGAAAAAGTATGCATAATTTTGCAATCTTTATAACCTGTATGAAATAATGCAAAAAAACATAGATTAACCCATTGAGCATCAGCTCTCTCTCCTTGACAAGTAAAACCATTTGGCATTAGAGTAAAACAATAAAGCAGGGTACCATTGGGGTGCAATGCAACTTACTAGACACATGGGTCTGACAGCACCAGTGTTCTTCCCCAATGAATAAAATAGTCAGTCGTTAGACTGAGTAAAATACCAGGATAAAGGGCTCATAGCTAGTGCTGTGCACCAGAGAGGCCGGAGCCGGAGTTTTGGCCTATTTTGCCGGAGCTGGAGTTTGTTCAACTCTGGCAAAACTTTGGCAGCACTTATTTATGCTGCAGACTACTGTCAGACAGACATTGGTAAAAAAAACCTGAACCTTATATACGAAAAAGGAAATACTCGCATTGATACTGCGTAGGCTTGCCCAAACATACTGTAGTACAAATTGAAAAAATAGAGGATGCGTAGCCAGGTTGAAACATAATTTATTTATTGAACGTTCTCTGACTAAATATTTATTTCTACGAGCTTTCGGCTATCAGTCTATAGCCTTCGACGGGTGTATACAAATGATTCTATAAAGGTCCAGTTACACGTGCGATTTTTTTCTCGCGCCGGCAACGCAACGGGTTAAATTTCATTGCGTTACTCGCGCGAGTCATGAAATTGCCCGTGTAACATGTCTGGCGCGGCAACGCAATTGCAACCCGATATTCTTGGCAATCGTTGCGGAAAGTTGAAATGCTTGAACTTTCGGCAACGATTGCCGAAAATATCGAATTACCCAGGCATTGTTTGAGCAGGAAACGCATGGGCTATTTTAAGATAGCCAATGAAATTCGCTTCTGTACGGACAGCGTGCTGTAGCGCTGCCAAATATCGAAGCGTTAAACAACACATCTCTGCTGGCTTGATTGATTCACGCATTATTGTGTCTTTCTTGTAATAAAAGCTTTTCAGATAGATTATCAACTATCTTTTTGAAATGATCAAAATCCATTCGCAAAAATTTTTCAAATGCTGGTGTGTCGTGGGCAGCCTGATCGGGAAGAAGCTGACGGAAATAACCTTTGTTTTTTCTCTCATTTTCTTTAACCACCTCGTCATCTTCTTGTCAGTGAAATTTGCGAATTGCGAAACACTAGTGCCCGGTTTTTTCAGGCAAATAGTTGCGACGCGGCTAAGCTAGCATTGCTCGTGTCACCACTTCACTCGCGCGAGTAACGCAATGAAATTTAACCCGTTGCAAAGGCGTTGCGTTGCCGGCGCGAGAAAAAAATCGCACGTGTAACTGGACCTTAAAGGACGCTAAACTTAAGTAGGTGGTATGAAATATGAGACTATCTATATGCTATGTTACTCCAAAAACATGACATTAAAGTTTATAATAAGCCAATGAAAATCCTCGAACGCCAATTCCCATCTGCAAAACAGAAACCACCCACAGAAGAACAAAAGAACGTGGTCTACCAGATACCATGTCAAGATTGCAGTTGGAGCTACAATAGGCGAAACAGGAAGATCCCTGAAGACGAGAAAGTCCGAACACGTAAGGAATGTGAAACAAGGCAAGAAGGGGTCGAATGTCGCGAAACACGCATGGACCCAAGATCATCTAATTGACTTTGCCAATGCTAAAGTATTAAATAGACAAGGGAAATCATAGGAACCTTAAAACCTGAGTCCTGGCACACTGCACTAACAGACGAAGCTGATAATAACTCTAATACGTTTCCACCACAATACACAATACTTTTCAATTAATTAACACTTGAGATCAATGCTTGAGACAGCTGAAATAAAGATAAGCCAATCCCAAAAATGGCCGATTATTTGAAGGCCGATTATTCCAAATAATCGGCCGATTAATCAGTCTCTGTCAATGGACCATTTGCATTATAGACTAAATTTTGATCTAGACAAAAATTTCATCACAGCTTGAAAGAGCATCACAAAATTAGTAATATTCCAAAGTTTCGTTGCGAAATGTTGTAAAATGCCAATAATATAGCCATGTGAAGTTTGCCGTTTTTCAGTCATTTTGTATTACGCACGGGAAATTGACAGCCCAATCGGGTGTTGGGGCATCAATTTCCCGTTTGTAATACAAAATGACTGAAAATTGCAAATTTCGCAAGGCCATATTATCCGCATTTTACAACATTTCGCAACGAAACTTGGGAATATTACTAATTTTGTGATGCTCTTTCAAGTGGTAGTGAAATTTTTGTCTAGATCAAAATGTAGTCTATAATGCCATTTGCATTATAGACTACGTTATATCAAGGGGCCCCCGGTTCAAAATTTTCGAAGGCCCCCCTAGTAGAAGTGGCAAAGGCACGAGTCGAGCGCCGTATATGCACGAGTTTTCTAGGGGGTCCAGGGCATGGTCATCCAGAAAATTTTTAAATCTAGACTCTCTGAAATGCCATTTCCTGGACTTTGGGGAGAGATTTTACAGAATTCTGATGGTCATAAAACGACATTGTAACATATCAGAGGCCCTGGTCAATCTTTTTGCCCTATCGCCTAAGCCTGGGGGCCCCCATTTGGGTTGGGGGCCCCCGGGTTCACCCGGTCTGAGCCCATAGTAGTTACGCCACTGTTGTTGTTATGTTGCTAGTCATGCACAGGTTAAAATTTCAAATGGTGGGTGTCAGTATAAGCAAATGGTGGGTGTCAGCAAGGATTCAAACTGCGAGCACAGCAAGGGCGGCGGAACATATTTTATTTGGGGGGGGGGGATAAATTAAAACAAATTACCGTAGTTTTTGACTAAGTGGAAACGCAAACGGCATTGCGTGTAGTGATTTTTCCTACCTTTGAAAAATTGTTCAAAATCTACAAAATTACGGATATGCAATTATGCATAGCTCATTTGATCTCATGACTCAATGATTAATGCGCAATCGAAGCAAATCAACGACCAATTATAAGCCGCAAAAAGCTTGAAAAGATCACTATACGATATGCTCAATCAGCACATAAGCAGTGTTAAATTTTGTCTGACTGGACATAAAATATAATATTAAGCATTTTATTTGAACGATTTAAAAATATAACCAAACTATAGAAATACAATCATATTTCATAGTCCATGCTCTCGCATTGACACAAAGAGCACAAACACAAGATCAACGCAATGCTTACATCAGAAGTTCTTATTCTATGTTCTATTCGAAGCTATAGACGAAATTTTGATCAAGACAAGAAGAACGCGTACGAAATTCATTACCAAGAGCATTTTAAAATGAGTAAAATTGCAAAGTTTGGTTGCGAATTGTTGTAAAGTGAGGAAAATATAGCCCTGTGAAGTTTGCAAATTTTGTATATACTGTATTTGCATTACCGGAGCTGGAGTTTGTTCAACTCTGGCAAAACTCTGGCAGCACTTATTCATATACTGTTATGTAAATGGTTTCGCATTCTGGCATTCTTCATGTATCTTTTTTCGGGGGGGGGGGTCTAAAGCCCCCCCCCTAGCCCCCCTGTTCCGCCGCCACTGGAGTACAGCAGTAGAATTTCATTTTTTCCTCCTTGAGTAACAGAAAAGAGTTGTGTAAAATCATTGAGAATGAACTGCAGGGTACTTAATTGATGTCCTAGTTAAATATCAAAATTAACAGTACAGAAAGAGAAAAGGTGAAATGAAAACTTCAAAATACTTTTGTTAAAAAGTTAATTGTTCTTCAGTGACATACTGATAAGTGACTACAGTAAGCTTTTAAAATATTTCATAAATCAAACCACATACTATATTACAGTATGGGTGTTAAAAGGTTAACCTTTTATGGCTGATTATTTTGCCAATTATCATGGTACAATCAGATTATTTCAAATTGGGCTTTGCCGATTGATTAATCGACTTGCATCTCTAACCTGATGGTGCTATTTTTATTGTGTCGTTCTAGAGTGTGGCTATGAATTGGGTGAGGATGCATTTTACAACAAGGACGGGTCATATTATTGTGCCAAAGACTACCTCGACAATTTTGGTGAACATTGCTTCAAATGTCGTGAATTCCTTGAAGGAGAAGTTATCACTGCTTTGGGAAATACCTTCCATCTTGACTGCTTTACATGCGGGCACTGCAAGTAAGTGATAATTTGGTAATGGGGTATAGGGATGGTTGATTCCAGCTATAGACTAAATTTGATCTAGGCAAGAAGAACAAAATCCATCCACAGCCAGAAAGAGCATGTCAAAATTAGTAAAATTGAAAAGTGTAGTTGCAAAATGTTGTACAATGAAGAAAATATAGCCCTATGAAATTTGCAAATTATGTACTAATTTGTATTACGCGCGGGAAAATGCACCACTTTCGGCCCGAATGTGGTGCATTTTCCCACGCGTAATACAAAAATAATACAACATTTGCAAATTTTGCAGGCCTATATTTTCTTCATTTTACAACATTTTGCAACCAAACTTTGCAGTTGTACTAATTTTAACAATTCTTCTTGCTTAGATCAAAGCTAGAATCATCTATTGAAAAGTGTTCTGTTGTATCTATGCATACAAAATATCACAAAGCTTACCGTATCCCATGGTGATCAAAGTCATGTGAATGACATTGAAGGTTATTAAATGTGTAAAATAAGCATCTACAGTACACTACTGCGGATACACCAAATCCCGAATTATCGCACCCTGTGTTGTCCAACTTAGTTTTGCAAGAATCTCACTAGATGGTATTTCGCATGATGAATATCGAGTTATTGTTCTTGCTGGCTCTATTTTAAAGCTTTGGTAGACAGTCTTTAAGGATGGCTGAACAATTTTTCTAAACAAACGTACAATAATCAAAGTGTGGTAAAATAAATGCCTTGTAATTTGTAAATATTCCTCAAAGGTTTCTCAAGTAAGTTTATCTGTTCTACCATGTGCTGTGCCTATACTTAGTAAATTTTGTGTTCTCTTTTAGGAAATTCTTTCCTCCTGGCGAGACTGTTATATTTGACGGTCAAGATTATGTTTGTGAAGATTGTGATTATGGTGTGGATCCTTCATCACGACAACCCCTGCACAGTATGTTTCTCAAAATTAATACCTTAAGTTTAAAAACTTTTTGCGGAAAGGCTGCCCTTTACCGTCATCTGTTTGTGAAAACCATTGCAATAGAATTTGAAGAAGGTCAAGGTTATCTATTTTGGTTTTACGCTTAATATTCAAAAATATGGTAGTTTTATGGACACGCGTTCATACAGTAGTGTATTACTGTATTTTTGCCAAATCATCCAGCACAAACCTCGGCTTGATAATTCTTCATATGTTCAATCTCACTCTGTCAATAATTGTTTTACAATTATTCACTTAAAAGTGTTTCGACTGCATTTTAATTTCACAATCAAGTCACTAATAATAACTCCTACAGTAATACTGTGACAGTATACATTGCTGAAGACTACAAGCTACAGTGGGGCGATTAAAAGACTTAAAAAGAACCCAAGAATTAGGTTAAATAGGAAACTTTGGTATGAAAACTAACATCATATGGAGTATATAGTTTATGTTTTTATTGAAAATTATGCTGATTTGAACCGTCCCAATAAAATAATAAATCTTTCCCAATGGAGAAGTGTAGCGTACCTAAACGTTTCATTTCATAGGAAGATGCGATCACACATTGTTGCCGTATCACGTACAGTATGGCTCATTTTCGTAACGTCCGCAACGCATGCATTTCCTTTAATTTATGAGGAACGCAAATGACAACACTTGGGATTGTACCAGTGTCAGTTTCCTTGTACTGTATGTACAGTACTGCATAAATACCATTATTATCAAAAATATTTTTACATTTGAAGCTGTATTCTGAAAAATACCCTTGTTACAGGTATTTCGTCTGAAATGTAACCTCCGGCAACGAAGAAATACCCATGCAGCACAGTTACTGTAGCTAGTTGATAAATTTCCTGATGAAAGTGCTATATAATTGTTATAGAGTGTTCTGGATGTCACAAGGATATTGAACATGGTCAGGCCTTGATGGCCTTGGATCAGCACTGGCATCCAAATTGTTTTACATGTCAGAAATGTGGCATTGTTCTTCACGGCGAATACATGGGAAAGTAAGTAACAGTGAGATAAAGGTTTTCTGTGGACAAAAATTTCTGGCGAAAGACTAAGTATATATAAATAATTTAATTTTATAATTCAACAGGCAGCTTTAATATGGCACGTAGATAACTAGACAACAGTGCGCATAACAATAGGAAGTGCCGACTGATTCATGATCCTCACCATTATTTGTGATGATATAGCATACTGTGTACATAGAAGGAGAGCTAGAAAAGCAAGATCAGAAATTGACAGCTAAGAACAGAGCATGCGTAGAAGCCTAAGTCCCTCCCCCAGAGCCAAAAAGTTAGACTAAGTTTAGTTACCTTTCACTCTCATGCAAGGGGTTTTGTTTTTTTACTTTAATTTCTACCTTCAAGGGATGGATTTGCATTTTGTGAGAAAGATTATCAGACTGAGTTTGGGGTTACCTGCGCTGGTTGTCAAGGCTACATAACCGGCAAAGTACTGCAGGTAGATATTATGTTACTGTGCTTTGTAATTACTTAACGTAATTTTAGGTGCAGTAAGTAAATGGGGTGTGTGTGCTAATTATCTTTACTTGCAGCCGAGAGCTAAGCTGAATTACGAAGGACGCAGCACAACCTGATCGAGGGTAGTTCGGAGGGGTAGGGTGTGCCTAGTGTCGAAGGCTTTCTATGAAGGGCGGCTCTGGCAGCCACCTTATGAATCATGTCTAATCACAGAGCACAGCTACGGTGAAAGGATACGTTTGGGCTTATTCTAACCAACCCTATCACCATTCCCCGTGGGAGGAAACCGGTAATTGCGTAAATCACGGAACAATTTACGGAAATTTTAAAATACCCGGAAACCTCTGCGGAGGAGTGGGGAAACCCACGATTTTCGGTGGAGCGACGACTGACTCTTTTCACAAAAGTGTTCATGAGTCCCCACCGAGAATCGAACCCATCGATGTGATGTATTCCATTCCAATACGATTGTCATTTCTGCATCCGTATATTTCAATACCGGTACAAATACTCTGTACTATCTATCTGATTCTACTGTACCTCATTCTATCCGTATTTCCTTCTAGGCTGGTGACAAACATTATCATCCGCAATGCTCTCGATGTGCCAAGTGTGGTCAAATGTTTGGCGAAGGCGAGGAGATGTATTTACAAGGTTTGTTGATTTTAATAACCCAATTCAGAGTTTCCACTGCGTATCCAAATGACGCGTTTTGTGTCGGGATAACTTGCAGACCGCCAGCATTAAAATATACATATCAAAGTATTCAGCCGTTCATTCATTATTTGTGTTTCACTGATAACCACAACAGAGGCCATAAAGTATCGCTCGGTCGCGGAGATTATCCGGCTCATTCGTGAAATTGTCCAACGTACTGTACAGTAGCAGGCCTTAAAATATCGGTCGGTCACGGACATTGTCCGACCCATTCGTGAAATTGTCCGACGTAAAGAGGAAACCACCGGACATTCTGTCCGACCTAAGTGAAACTGAGGTTTATTGTTTGTCCGACTCGAGTGTAATGGTGGCCGACCAAACTGTAGCTTTGTCCGACGTAAATCAAAATGTACCCTAGTCCAGGACTAGAGACTCGTATGTTAAATGGAGAATTAGAGTAGTGCATAAAAAGTGAACTGGAAATGTTGTTTTAAATTTTAATTTAATCGAGGGCGGGGCGGCGAACGAAATGGTGAAGTGGAAAATGGGCTTAACTTGTCGAACTCTTACTGCTGTTCTTGGCAAGCAATAACCGAATAACGTTAATTTTGGCTTGGAAATTAACGGGCCCACAACATTTGCCGCTCAGAATTAATACATTGTGCTGATATTAATTTGCGTCATTCAGACTTATTTCCGAGACAAACTGAACTGAAGGTCATCGGACATCATCATACATATCATACCCAAACTCAAAGTCAACGGACATTTTGTCAGACGGCTCTGTAAAAGATATTTTAAGGCCTGTAGTACAGAGGAAACCACCGGACATTCTGACGTCCGACCTAAGTGAAACTGAGGTTTATTGTCCGACCCGAGTATATTGGAGTCCGACTGGACTGTCGCTTTGACCGATGTGAATCAAAGTGTACCCCAGTCCAGGATTAGAGGCTCGTAAGTTAAATGGACAATCGCAGACTAAGTAATGTATGAAAAGTGCACCGGAAATGTTATTCTAATGTAATCAAGCGCGGGGCGGAGAGCGAAATGGTGAAGTGGAAACTGGAAAACGGGCTCAAGTGTCGAAGTCTTTCTGCTATAATTGGAAAGCAAGTTAATTTTGGCTTAGAAATAAGTAACATTTAGTTCAGAAGTGTTAATCAGTAATACATTGTGTTGATATTGATTTGTGTCATGCAGACTTATTTCCGTGTCATGCTGAACTGGAGGTTATCGGACATCATCAAACATACAGTATGTACATCGGACATCATCATACATATACTGTACTGTATATGACTCGGAAATAAGTCTCCATGACACAAATCAATATCAGCACAACGAATTACTGATCAACACTTCTGAACTAAATGTTACTTATTTCCAAGCCAAAAAGTTATCCGGTATCCGGCAAAACAGTATCCCAAGGCTGTATTTTTAGGGTGCGCACCTCCCTTGAGATTGTTTTGCACCTCCCCTGATAATTTTTGCACCTCCCCTGAAAGGTCATGCACCTCCCCTTTGGAAAATTTCAATGATAAATCAGAGTGAAAATTTGACATTTTTTGGTTGCGTAGGGTCTACACTTCGTAAGAACGTTTTTCTGTAAAATTGAAACAGTTCTAGCCATTTATCTTTGTGTCAAGTACCCTTTTAATGCAATGTTTTGAAATAGACTTTGTAGTAATTGTAATGAAGGGCAAAATTGGATGAGTTGTACTAATTCATTAATACACTGATACATATGTACTGTACACTACATGAATATGTCACCTCGGTGACTTTGGCGTTCCAAGCCCTAACTTTCCATGGGGGTCGTGAGCTAGATTGCTGCACCTCCCCTAAATATTTTTCCACCTCCACCACTATTTCCACTAAAATCCGGCAATGCAGTATCCGGAAGATCCATAGTCTTTTGTTTTATTTTGTGCTAGGTTCTGAGATCTGGCATCCCGAATGCAGTGAAATGGTGCGAGAAATGGAACGAGCTGAAAAGGAACGCGCTGAAATGGAACAACGTGAAGCAGAACGCCGGGAAGTGGAGGACGAAGCAAGGAGAAGGGAAATGGAACAGAGAGAAGCGGAAAGACAAGACGCGGAAAGACGTGATGCGGAGAGACGGGAAGCAGAAAGACGGGAAGCGGAAATGAGAGACACGGAACGGCGGGAAGCGGAGAGACGGGATTCTGAAAGACGGGATGCGGAGAGACGTGATGGTGAAAGGCGGGAAGCGGAGAGACGTGATGGTGAAAGGCGGGAAGCGGAGAGACGGGATGCTGAAAGGCGGGAAGCGGAGCGTTTGGAAACCGAACATCGCGACGCGGAGCAAAGAGAACGTGATAGAAGAGAAAGGGAGATTGAAGCTGAGAGGCGTGAGGCTGAGCGTCGAGAGGTGGAACAGAGAGAAATAGAAAGACGAGATAGAGAGAGAAGAGAAATCGAGTACAGAGAGTCGCAGCGTCGAGACACTGAAAGAAGAGATGCCGAGAGAAAGGTGAGTAGAGCGATTGCCTAGGTTTTAACTCTGTTACCTCGCAGGCTCCCATATTTATATTATAATTGTCAACCATCGTATAAAATTGGACGAAGCAACCATTTTGGCGATTGATAGTCATAAATTCTCTCGCAAAATGAGAGAGTCAATTGAAATCGAGAAGCACAGTACTATAGATCAGGAGGGAAAGCCATTAGATAGTACGTGGCGTGCTTTCTTTAATGTGCAAAATTAATTTCTCTTGTCTTGGACGCGCGCGCGTTAATTGGAATCACTTCACTACGTTTAAAATGACGTGGTTGATGTGCCGTTTAATTAGACAGATTTAGAAAAGACGACGCGACCTCAAAGACGACGTGAAAATGGCGTCAAAATGGCGTGGCACATCCATATATGGACAGAACACGCAATTTTCATGTCGTCTTTGAGGTCGCGTCGTCTTTTCTAAATCTGTCTATTAAACTTCAAATGAAGCGAGCCAACAGATCACGACACTTTTTTATATAAAAAGGGCGTGTGAATTGAACAAGTCACATATTATTAGCACTAATGAAGATCCGGGCTTACGGATCGAAAGCTTTGCAGTAATAAATTTACGTGGTGTTTGTGTTTCCACAAACAAAACTATTATATGTTTTATCGCCATGCAAACATACAAAGAACTTAGATGTGTAACTTCAGTAAAAAAGTTATCGCACGTTCGCCATCTTCCTAGTGTCGCTCGCGTGATAATTCGTCATTTGGTAATACGTCTTGCTTTCAAAAATGCTTTCAACACCTTTTCAACAACTTTAATTGCTTTCAGTAACTTTAAATATTCAACATTGATTGTTTAATCCAAAAATTTCGATCCAAAAAGGCCTTAGGACGCCATTTTGCTATAGCAAGTGTCATGGCGTGAGCATGACGTGTATACAGTATTTAGGGAAATTTGAGGACATGGTATATTCTTAATCTGTGTCCTGGTTAGGTTTGAAAGTTGTATATACAATCAGTTTCAAAAGTCTTGGGACAAATGCCACAAAACCTTTGAATTTCAACAAACGTCAATCCCCCCGCCCCCTGGTCAATGATTTGTCCCATTTCTCGTCAGGTTTGATGTGTTTTGGTTTAAGCAACATTGATTGGGGGGAGGGGAGGGGAGCGGAGCGGAGCGGTATTGTGTGTAAAAAACTGTAATGAATCCACTTACAAGCTAACACTACATGTGTCCCAACAACTTCTGAAAGTGATTGTAGCTACACTGTAATCTTTCGCTCGAAATTCCCATCTACAAAAGCCCTTAGTATTATCACAGATGAAGTATATACCAGATGTGCAACTTACTGTAATAGGATTTCGTGTCCTCAAATTTCCCCAATTCCCTAGATGTACACGTCATGCTCACGCCATGGCACTTGCTAGCAAAATGGCGTGCGCATTTTTTGGATCAAAATTTATGGAAAGTTGAAGAAAATGTGTTGAAAGTATTTTTGAAAGCAATGACGTATTGCCAAATGACGAATTATCACGCGAGCGACACTTGTTAGGAAGATGGCGACCGTGGGACAACTTTTTTACTGAAGTTATACATCTGTCCTTACTTAATCTGTGGTATTAACGAGCGAGAATGCGAGATGCCCAAAATCTTGAAGAATGTTATTGTGTGTCTGCTCTTGAATAATACTGTATATTGTGTTAATTGTGTGTCTGTGTGTTATACATTTTGGTTGAACAATTACTATCTTGTTTTAGAGAGAATATTACCAACAAGGCCAAGCTGGGCAGCAAGTTGATGTTGGTAAGTGTAAACGATCTATGAAATACAGTACTGACTACTGTAGTTAGAATATTTATTATTAGCATGACAAAATTACTGGATGCTGATTGGTTGAGAGCCATGAGAGGAGTACAATTATTTCATTAATTGTACTGCAGTACAATTAATGATTTTCCCAAAACAAACAAAATGGCGGAAAGGTATTATAAACACAAGCGTGAAATGAAATTGCCGTGGAGGAACTAGATGAAAATACGAACAAAAGCACCAAATTTTGCTTGAACAAAAGAACTAAATGAAAATACAAACAAAAGCATCAAATTTTGGTTGAAAGTCTGGCAGGACTGGGCTTTGGCGAGAGGATATGATGTTGACATTGAGAAGTACGTACCCAATTTTGTCATGCTAATAATAAACAAGCAATCATGCGATGTTGCTCGTACAATTAGGGATTAATAGTACTCGTGATGTTTGGCAAAATTTCCAAACATCACTCGTAGGCTACTATTAATCCCTAATTGTACTCGCCATCGCATGATTACCTATACAAACAAAAAGTTCTTAACTATTTCTCGAGGAAACAGACACTTAGTGTTTTGTTATTTAACGAAGAAAGAAAAATCAACATTTGTATTTCATGACAAAAACTCTATAGTGTAAACGCGAGTTTAAAATTTAAGAACCTATACTTAAACGTTGTCAGCAGCATATTTTTGATTGCCGCTCAAAGGCTTATTGCAGTGATGCATGGATACGGACTGTTCCCATCGCCGCATATTATATTTAAGTGTGAAAAAAATTCCCACCACGAGTGCCTCTTGATATATTAACTGCTTACTGCTGTTTTCCCAAAAAGTATCTGGGAGATATGAAAATAACATACGTGAATACCTCTACAAATCTTCAGGTGGATTTATCTTTATAAAACGACCCATGAGTCTGCATGTTTTATATCTTCGCCTGTTGATCTTGTATTAAAAGTGTTTAAACAGGGATTACTTTTAAAATACGTGCTGAATACCAAGGTTGTAGACACACTTCTCTGTTGATACGGCTGACATGATATAGTGCGGTGTTTTAACTATGGCACCAGAGAGAGTCTGTGTTGTGGCATACATTGTTCATGTATATGGTAATGTACAGTATATTCTAGTTATTATACAGTATTTTTGTTATTCTGAGAAACATTTGTCTGTTGAGTGAAATACTTTGGAGTGTATAGTACATTAAAAGACACTATATATAGCTGGCTGTGGCACGTCTAGACATACAATTTGAAGCTGGAAATCTATAAGAAAACGATGTTTGCGACGCCTTGTGAATTTGTTGGAAAACATTTTTGCTTCTCGTGGAAAAGGAGTTTTACGAGTGAAGGCAGACAAGAAACGTGAAAGGAAACATCGCGAATTTCAAATCAGATGTTTCTACATCAATGTTTCCTAGTTGCAATACGGAAATTTAAATACGAGTTAAGAATTTAAAAGAAAATGGAAACAACACTCTCAGTGCCAGTGGAAATAAATTTGTTATAATAACCAATAAATTTGTTGACTAAGACTCAAAATGAATCTGAGACAACCAAATTTATTGGTTGTTTTAATTAAACAATTTGTTTTTACATGCAGTGAAACAGTTTGTTCGTTTTGTTTGAAAGAATGTTTAGAAGAGTTGCTTATAGAACTTTTAGAAATACTCCGTAATTTTCTTACAGTAATTTTTCAGGTATTTGTGATCTCCTGCGAACTTCCATATTGTTTAATAATAATTATAGGTCTAATAATTAAATGCCATCACAACCAGTGTACAGTATATAGACGTTATAAAAATAGCTGAAATATCTGTGGAAAACTTGTATTAATTGATGTCCCCTATTAATGAAACCTTCGGTTTTGCAATGTAAAATGTTGTAAATATTAAGGAAATTTAAATGTCAACTGTTAAAATTCGCATTACCAAGCAAAAACAGTTAGTTTGTTGAGAGACGGAGCTAGTTCGTAATAAGAGTTATTATATTTATATCCTTGTTAGCAAATATTTATATTGTAGTCAAGCTTTTACCTCCGTTCTGATTGGCTAAAAGGAGTGCAATATTATCGAAATACAGTTAAAATAACAACAACAAATACTTGGACAGCGCCAAAATATTTAGAAATACTTGGAAAGCGGTAAAATGACTTCTGACACTTGTATTAAGAACTTGTTGTGCCATTTAAATCAGTGAGTAAATGGTTTATTTCTCATGTGTTTCGCGTGCGTGGAAGTGACCATGAAATTTCGTCTGTAAAATTCTTTCATGTATATTAATTATTATTAATGAGTAATGGATAAGTATGGTTTCTCATGCAATTTAGAAAACAAACACTAGTGAGTTTTTGAAAGACTTCAGATAACTCGTCCTTCGGACTCGTGCAATTTTGATCGTCTTTGAAAAACTCACTCGTGCATGTCTTTCCAAATTGCGCTCGAAACCATCTTCACAGTAGACGACGTCTACACAGTAGACGACGATTTCTAAGGAATATTCTAGTTTTTAAAATTGTCAATAATATGGACATTCCTAAGTATCTTAACAATTATCTGGTCTTAAGAAGCTCATTAAGAGAAAAATCCCTCCGTGATCAAACTTTGATAGATATACCTAGAGTAAACACCTCACTAGGGCAAACTATGTTTAAAGTTCCAGCAGCACGTGATTGGAACTTGCTACCGAAATGTATCAGAGATATTAAAGTTCTCGGCAGCTTTAAAAACAATGCTTTTAAACATTTTTTAGAATTAGACAATTCTACACATAGGTGTAGTTTGTAATTTTTACTGATTATTGTAATGTTGTATATAAACGTATATATATGTAAGTATTTCATAACTGTAAATACTGTTCACCCGGGTAAGACCAGCTTTAATTAGCTGAAAGAGTCTCACAGTTTAAATAAAGATTATTATTATTATTATTACTATTACTACGTATACAAATAAACTTCTATACTTCTATTCAGGCACGTTACAGCTTAAACGAAGTGGAAAATTTTTCTATACCATGATCAATTGAATGGGACAAATTTGGTTTTATCACTAATTTCGTTTTGCGTTCTTGTTTAGGTCGCAAGCCGTCTCCTGATTTCGACGACTTACCACCACCACCGAGACCAGAGGAGTTGCCCAAAGGTAGGAACTATCTTCACAGTAAATGGTACCCATTTGTTCTGGTATGATAATAGACATGGGTGGAAAAAAGTATCGGACCATTGGTCTCAGGAAATGTTCGAGTCGTCAGAAAATATTTCCCAAAAAACGGAAAAAAAATTGTAATAATTTAGATAAAAGGAGAAATTGAGAGAAAAATCGAACCAATAGAAAGAATGTTACATGTACTGTAGGCTTGACCTGAGAAATGCAATTATCTAATCCATCTTAACAGTGCGATAGTGTATAAATCTATAGACTATATGAATGATGTAACAAATGTTGTGTGGCACATGCATTTTTAGCCAATCTGGGACACCTGATTTTCAAAATTTTCTGGGGGAGCATGGTCCCCCTGGATAGTTCCCTCTGGAGTACCCTTTTTGGGTGTCTGTATTTAGCTTAGGATCCGATCCTTGATGTATGTTATCTAAATTAGTTTTGTGTTGTATTCCAGAAAGTATTATTAAGATTTTCGGTGTACTGAAATACTTTTTTTCTGTTAGAATATAGCATGACATCCAGTTTGACAAGTTGTTAGAGTCATACAGTTACAGTGTTCGAGTGTCAATTTACTTGATTATATTTGCAGCAAATTGTCAGTGTCTCTTGCGGTCCGAGAAAGTAAAATATTTTGTTATCCCTGCATGATTATAGATCAGTGAGTTTCGTCACATGTTACTGCAGCATTACGTAGAATTCGCGGTCATATCAGAGAGTAGGGAGGGACATTGAGATATTTTTTTTCCGTCCGAACATGAAACCGTAACCGCGTGACTATGAGTTATGTTTAGCGGTTGCCTTTGCCTTTATATCTTGCATGTTTTTCACAGCTGGATATATTTTAGTGAGTTTGAAGATCATTAGACGTTTCATACGGTTTGCAGGCGCCGAAATTCAAGTGCCTACTTGTGCTACTCGTGTATTACTACTACATGATAGTTGATCTATACTTTACAACCAAACGACAATCCGACATGCTCATATTTCGCAACATGAAATAATTACGGATCACTTTTACCAATTTCAACAAACTAGTTTTTTCAGTAGTAGGAGGGAATTCTAAGTAGGAGGGAATTCTCTCTGTTGTAAGTAACAAGACTCTATTTTATGAACCTATACACGACTTTACATAAATAATGAAGCCGTGTTCGTTTTACCTTGCCGTATTTTTCGAATTTCAACAAGCCCTTTTAGCTAAGGCCTTGGTGTAGCGAGCAAAAAGGCCAATAAACTAACCCTCCCTCTCTTAGAAAAAAGAAATGCTGACGCTTCAAGCATTGGGATGCTACTCTGGTGTAACAGATCGTGCGCATTGCTGACTGTTGCATAGATACGTAGAGTATCAGCCTCTGCATCAACGAATGTTTGACATTCAATTTTTTCGTTTGTAGGTCCTCCTGCTCCGCCAACTCGCACTGACAGTCGCGCGAAGGACTGGAAAGCGCGTTATGGATCGCTGCCAAGAAGTGGGTCCGGATCTGTGAACGGCGACGCACCTGAAGCACAGATGAGGGTGAGTGATGTTAATCATATAAGCTCTGTTTAAGCCTGGTTCACATAAAATCGTTAAGCAGTCGCAGACTGTCGCAGACATGTGCCGAATTTTTATATGAACGATCTGCGACGGATCGGGGAAAGTTGAACCAAGTTCAACTTTCCCGGTCCGTCGCCGATCCGGTCCCAGACAGTCTGCGCGAATCTGCGTTTGTGTTCATATAAAAATTCGGCACATGTCTGCGACTGTCTGCGACTGCTTAACGATTTTATGTGAACCAGGCCTTAGCAACAGATCTCTACAGGGCCGCAGAGAGGGAGGTCAGGAGGGCATTTCCCCGCAGTGGTTTAATTAACTGATATAGCGATACAATCTGTGGAGAAAATTGGATTTAGTAGTATGCAAATTGTTTACAACACTGCTACGCACTGACGCCAGTCTCCGCTACGTGCACCTTGCCGTCCTTGGCTCATAAGCCGAATGACTGAAGTTCTTACTGCAAATAATAGAGGTCACTGCAGGAACAAACGAACGAACGAACGAACGAATAATTTGAAAATGCTTTGGTGTCGCGACAATGACTTTTGGCATAACAAAAAATATTCGGTGGTTCTGGTTTCCCGACCAGCCGACCCTAACGTTGTTTCGATGCGGTTGCGTCTGGTTGCCCCATTCGACCCCCATTTTTTCGGGTCATTGCGAGCTGCTCGTCTTGGAATGTTTTATTGTTCGAAATATGTGCTCGGACCGGCTTTGTTTTGCTCGACGTCGAAGATAATGTTTTTGTAGAAAATAAATGTATTTTACAATCCGAGATATGATGGTCTGGAAACTCAACATTGTGTTATGGTTTTGTCGGAGCTGATGTTAATTTTTCTATTGAAAATATTGATTTTTGTTGCATGAAATTGAGACTGCTAGCGCTTTCGAGCTGAGGTTTATCTACCTTCCCACAAAGTAAGAAAAACAACGCAAAAAAATGAACCTAATTTCAAACAAAGTTAGCGAACTGACCGATTGCTTGAAAATAGATTTAGCGATTATTAACTTCTTATTAACCGAACGCGAGGTCTATACAGTGAAATATCGGACCGAGGTCTTTTTTGAACAGACCGAGCCCACAGGGCGAGGTGTTTTCAAAAAGACCGAGGTCCGATATTTCTCTGTACATAACGAGCAAGCGAGGTTAATAAAAAGTTTATTATATGGCATTTATAGGCATTTATACTTGAAACCAACAAGAAATGCATGATTTGAAATGCATACTAGTAGCGTAGTACACATTTGGTCGAAGAAAAAAAAATACCAATGTATTCCTTAAATTAAATCAAATTTTCAATTAGTTTTGCTGTTTTATTTTTAAAATGCATCGTTTGTTTTTACCTAATGGAAATAATGGAAAAAAGTGCTTCTCAGCAAGTCACAGTCCGCCATTTCACCGGAAGTGATACTTGCCATATAATAAGTACATGTATTCTTCTTTGTTATAGAATGGTCCATCTCGACCAAGACCGTATTCTTATCATGAATCAAGCTACAGTAAGTTGTTAATTTTTTGAAAAAAATTTTCAAGTTAGGCTGCCGTGTGTGATAATATAAGATTTTTATTGGTTATTGCCGAGTACTTGAGCAGCTACTAACTTATGACTCCTGCGGCCGGTTGTTTAAATTGGTTTTAACTCTGAGTTACAAAAGTAAAACTTACAGTAACCTGTTGTTTTGGTTTGTGTATTTTTGCATGTCTGCATGTTTATTTCAAAACTTTACAAAAAAGACTTCTGACATCATTTCTGGAAAAAATATTTTGATGTTTATAAAGAGGCTGTTCGCAAGATTGCACACACGTGTTTCGTTAACCGAAGATTAAGCTAATCGACTGTCGAGCAACCTGCCCCAGGAAGTACCAGACCGTAAACCAGGTTTCCATATGGTCGTAAAGATGGAGCCACGATCTTTCTCAACGGCCAGATTATAATAGTTTTTACCCGTAAACCACATATAAATCATATAAGATATTCTTTATTTATAATCACCCTGCCTATTCTTAGTTCTAAACTGCTGTATTTCGGCTGTTGAGAAAGATCGTGACTCAATCATATGGAAATAGGCTTTAAAGCTACATTTACACGCTGCGTTTTGTTGTATACGATTATTATTTCGGCGTTTACTGTATTTGTACAGTGGTTGCATTTCAAATTTTGCCGGATACTAAATGAGAATAGGAATTATGATATCAGCAGTAGTTTCAATACACCAGAATGACAATCGTGACAAATAACCCTAACAAACCCTAACTATTTGTCCAGTTAACAGACGTCCTGTTCAAATATAACTTTAATAACCCCT